GCCACCCTTGTGGCCGGTTTCACCCCCCTGGTCAGTGCTTTGCTCAGCTCACTGACACGGTTCGTTTGGTCTACGGGGTTGGTGCTCCTGCCCCTGACTGGCTGCCTCTTGTTCAGCGCTACGGCTCCGCTCTGTGGGGCATGTCTGCTGCGCAGTTAGTTGATCTGATTGGTACTCCCCATGCTATGTATGCTGTTGTTGACTCTAGTGTTTCTGACTCTGCTTACTCTGGTGTTGTTAGCTTAGGTGCTAGCCTTGCTCAGTTGCCTGTTGCTAGTGTAGGTTCTTGTGTAGACTCTAGTCCAGCGGCTACCTCAGAGGACGGTTCGCTGTCGTTCACGCTGGATTCTGGAGCCTCTCACTGCTTCTTTCGTGACAGCACGACACTTACGCCTCTTCCTGCGCCTGTTTCTGTGGCGCTGGCTGATCCCACTTCGGGACCAGTCACCGCGCGTCACACTACCACCTTGCCGTGTCCGGCTGCTCCTTCTGGGTCTCTCACTGGGTTTCACGTCCCCTCGTTCTCCCGGAACTTGGTGGGCGTGCGACCCCTCGTGAGTCAGCACGTGGGTGTGTGGTTTGAGCCTTCTGGAGAGACTGCGGTGTGTGTTGACGGGGACTCTTACCAGCCCCTCGCCACTTTTGCTGCTGAGCCGGGCTCCGGTCTCTACACTCTTCACACTCGCCCGCGCGCTCAGCAGCGACTGCAGCAGCAGCAGCAGCCGCAGCAGCAGCAGCAGTAGCAGCCGCAGCAGCAGCAGCGGCGGCAGCCGCAGCCGCAGCCACAGCCGCCCCTCCTGCCCCCGGCCCCTGTTTTGTCTCCCGTTCGAGTCCTCGCGTCTCACCAGGTTGCTCCGTCCCCCCAGGTAGCTGTGTCTTGTCAGGTTCCTCCGTCTAGTCCGGTCGCTGCGTCGTGCTCCTGTCGGTCGCTTGCCCACCCCACCGTTTTGTGGCACCACCGGCTGGGACACCCTTCTCTTCCACGTCTGCGTGCTATGTCTAGTCAGCGTCTGGTCTTAGGTCTCCCGCGTGTCTTGCCGTCGCTGCCGCCGTCTCTTGCACCACCGTGCGGTCCTTGCGTCGAGGGTCGGCTGCGCGCCACCCCTCACTCCTCCTCCCTTCGTCCGGCCACCGAGCCTTTTGAGACGCTGCACTTGGACGTCTGGGGCCCCTCTCCTCGCCCTGGCCCTGAGCGTGAGCGTTTCTTTTTGGTGGTCGTTGACGACTACTCCCGCTACACCACAGTGTTCCCCCTGGCGAGGAAGTCTGAGGTGACTTCTACGCTGATCAGGTGGTTGCTTACCACCCAGGACACTCGTGGTCGTCGTGTCAGCTGTCTCCACTCCGACCGCGGGGGCGAGTTTCGCTCCGGCATTCTCGCTGGATTCTGTCGCGAACAGGGCATTCGTCAGTCCTGGACGCTTCCGAAGTCCCCACAGCAGAATGGGGTTGCTGAGCGTCGCATAGGCCTGGTCATGGAGATTGCCCGCACCTCCTTGACTCACGCCCGTGCCCCCCATTTCCTGTGGCCATACGCGGTCAGGTACGCCGCGCACCAGCTGAACCTCTGGCCACGCGTCTCTCGGCCGGAGGCTTCACCGACCAGTCTTTGGACAGGGTCCCCTGGTGTCGCGTCGAGGTTTCGTGTCTGGGGGTGCTTGGCTCTTGTCCGCGACACCTCCGCGGACAAGCTCTCGCCTCGCGCCGTTCCTTGTGTCTTCCTTGGTTTCCCTGAGGACTCCTCTGACTTCACCTTTTACCACCCTCCCTCTCACCGGTTCTTTGACTCCCGTGACGTCCGTTTCGAGGAGTCCACCCCCTACTACGTCAGGTACCCCAGTCGAGGTCTCCCGGTCCCTCCCCCCCCTCTCTTCCTGACCGCCGCTCCCCCGCCTGCTCCCCCGGTACAGCCTCCCCCCCCTGGTCCAGCCCCGTCTGGTGTGTCTCAGGCTAGCCCTCCCCCTTCGGTAGCCCCCCCTGTACAGCCTCCCTCCCCATAGTCTTCCTCGCCGCCTCCTGCAGGTGCTCCCTCTCGGGAGGTTGGTCCTGCGTCTGTCCCTGTACAGGTCTCTGGTTCTGGGGGTGCTGGAGTTGGAGCTGAGCCGCGGGTTGCAGAGGACTCTTGTCTTCCGGGGGCTGGTACTGGTCGTGCGGAGTCTGGGGGTACTGGTGCGGAGTCTGGGGGTGCTGCGTCTGGGGGTGAGGGTGTCCCTTCGGTTTCTGGAGAGCCTGGGTCTGGAGCTGGTGTTGGTGCTGCCTCTGGGGGTGGTGTGCTTGGTGCTTCGGAGGTCGACTCTGGGGCTGCCGCTGCCCCGGACACTACTCCTTCCCCCCACCCCTACCCGACCAGGTTCCAGGCTCGTGTTCGCCGTGCTCGTGAGGAGCAGCTGGAGTTGGAGAGAGAGGAGAGAGAGTTGCAGCGGCTCGAGGAGCAGGAGCGACAGCAGCAGGAGCAGCAGCTGGAGCAGCAGCAGCCACAGCAGCCGCAGCAGCAGCAGCAGCAGCTGCTGCCGTCTCCTCCTCCTGTCTCGGGTCTTCGGACCCTTGGTCTCCCGTCTCCCTCTCCTTCCTCCTCCCCCTCTCCTCCCGTCTCTGGTCCTCCGCTTCCTCCTCCTGACCCCTCTCCCGCTGTTTTCCCTCGTTCTCAGTCTTCGTTGTCTCCTCCTCCTTCTCAGACTTGGGCCTCTCGTCGCTCCCCTCGTGCTCGTCCCTCGTCTCCTGTTCCCTTCACTGACCTTCGTACAGCCTTCCTTTGTTCTCGTCCACCTCGTCCGTCTCCGTCTGTGCTTCCGTCTCCTCCTGAGTCGGCCCTCACTGTGTCGCTTCCTTCTCCTGTCACTGACTACTACCGCCCGTACCGTCCTGTTCTCTCTCGTGTTCTCGCCTCTCTTGTTACCCACCCTCGTGCCTTTGTGTCCTCTGTGTCTGCTCTTACTGCCGCAGTCACTGAGTTTGCCTCTACCCACCGCCTTGACTTCGCCACCGCTCTTGTGGCAGCTCCTCCTTCCAGTCCTCTGACCGTCGGGGGTGTGTCTGCCCTTGGCTGTGACGCCCTAGAGGACAGGCAGTTTGAGCTAGAGTTCCTGGCGGCCGCTTCCCCTCATCTCTGTGCCATGCTCCTCGCCCCTGAGGGTGACCCCGACGCCCTTGACATTCCGACTCCTCGCACTTACGCTGAAGCAGTGTCAGGGCCTTGGGCCTCTCAGTGGAGAGCTGCCATGGACGCAGAGATGGCCTCCTACAGATCCACAGGCACCTACGTCGATGAGGTTCCCCCTCCGGGGGCGAACGTAGTCGACGGCATGTGGATCTACAGGGTGAAGCGGCCACCGGGATCTCCTCCGGTCTTCAAGGCGCGCTACGTGGCTAGAGGTTTCAGTCAGCGCGAGGGAGTTGACTTCTTTCAGACCTTCGCGCCCACCCCGAAGATGACCACTCTTCGGGTGTTACTACACGTAACAGCACAGAGAGACTACGAGTTACACTCTCTCGACTTCTCTACTGCTTTCCTTCACGGCAGTCTTCACGAGGAGGTCTGGTTGCGTCGTCCCTCTGCCTTCACTGGCTCTTTCCCTCCTGGGACCCAGTGGAGGCTGAGGCGACCGGTTTACGGTCTTCGTCAGGCTCCTCGTGAGTGGCACGACACCCTGCGTTCTACCCTGTCTGACCTTGGGTTCCAGCCGTCTTCTGCTGACCCGTCGCTGTTCGTTCGTCGTGGCCCCACACCTTTCTTTGTTCTGGTCTACGTTGACGACCTTGTTTTCGCCACCCCCGACAGGGTTGCTTTGGCACACGTGAAGTCCGAACTGCAGAAGAGACACACCTGCACTGATCTTGGTGAGCTGCGCCACTACCTTGGCCTGCAGATCACCAGGGACAGAGCTGCTCGCACCATTACACTTTCACAGTCGCACATGGTGCAGCAGGTCCTTCAGCGGTTCGGGCTTCAGCACTCCACAGTACAGCGCACACCTCTTGCTGTTGACCACAGACTCACTGGACCCTTTCCTGACGAGCCGTTCGAGCCTAGTGGTCCCTACGCAGAGCTTGTGGGTTGCCTCATGTACCTGATGACTTGTACTCGCCCGGACCTCGCCTTCCCTCTCAGCGTTCTTGCGCGCTTTGTTGCGCCAGGGAGACACCGTCCTGTTCACTGGACAGCAGCTGTGAGGGTGGCGAAGTACCTAGCGACGACGTCAGGCGTGGGGCTAGTTCTTGGAGGGCAGCAGTCTGTCGTACTTACTGGTCACTGTGACTCCTCTTACGCTGACGACGCTGAGACTCACAGGTCTACTCAGGGGTACTGTTTCAGCCTGGGTTCTGGAGCTGTTTCCTGGCGGTCCACACGCTCCTCTTCGGTCTCGACCTCTACAGCTGAGGCTGAGATCTACGCTGGGGCCATGGCGGCACAGGAGCTGCGTTGGTTGACCTTCTTGCTCACCGACCTTGGTGAGCGGCCGAGCTCTGCACCGACCTTGTTCACTGACAACAAGGCGTCTATTCTCCTTTGTCGAGAGCCACGACTGGAGAGCAGAGTGAAGCACATTCACGTCAGGTACTTTCTTCTGCGAGAGTTGCAGAGGCGTGGACAGGCTCGCTTTGAGTTTGTGGAGTCCGAGGCCAACACTGCAGACATCTTCACCAAGGCGCTTCCGCCTTGTGACCACCAGAGGTGCTGTGTGCAGTTAGGCCTTGTTGACACTGGTTCTCGTGTTGCTTAGACTTGAGTGTACTATTTACTTTGCTTTCTATATACCTCTGTTACTTCTTGGACTGGCCTTGTGGCCACTGTTGTTTGTGCTCAGACTGTGTGGTGACGTTGTGATCCACCCTGAGCTTCGTTTCTTGGACTGGTCTTGTGACCGTACTCGTGTGGTTCTGCTAGACACCCCTCACTTAGGCTATGGGGGTGTGTCAAATGTTGTAGCCTATAGTGAGGTTTGTCTTAGGGGGTACAAAACTTAGGGTTAGCTATATGTACCCCAACCAACATCAATGCATCATCCATTCCTCATTCTGACAGCGGGACACATGATGCGCGGGACATGCGGGGAGGGGAGGATGGGGATAGCAAAGAGGGATATAGGGTGAGCAGGGAGGAGAAGGAGGTGAGCAAAGGGGAAAGCCAGTAAGCAGGGGGAAACGAGGGGTGTGAACAGGGGAGGTGAGAGGAATTGTGGGGAAAAAGGGTTGAACGAAGGGGAATAGAGAGTAAACAGGGGGGAAAGATAAGTGAGTCCAGGGAGAACGAGAGTGAGCAGTGGGGGAGAGAGTGAGCAGTGGGGGAGAGAGTGAGCAGTGGGGAGAGAGTGAGCAGTGGGGGAGAGAGTGAGCAGTGGGGGAGAGAGTGAGCAGTGGGGGAGAGAGTGAGAAGTAGGGGAGAGAGTGAGCAGTGGGGGAGAGAGTGAGCAGTGGGGGAGAGAGTGAGCAGTGGGGGAGAGAGTGAGCAGTGGGGGAGAGAGTGAGCAGTGGGGGAGAGAGTGAGCAGTGGGGGAGAGAGTGAGCAGTGGGGGAGAGAGTGAGCAGTGGGGGAGAGAGTGAGCAGTGGGGGAGAGAGTGAGCAGTGGGGAAGAGAGTGAGCAGTGGGGGAGAGAGTGAGCAGTGGGGGAGAGAGTGAGCAGTGGGGGAGAGAGTGAGCAGTGGGGGAGAGAGTGAGCAGTGGGGGAGAGAGTGAGCAGTGGGGGAGAGAGTGAGCAGTGGGGGAGAGAGTGAGCAGTGGGGGAGAGAGTGAGCAGTGGGGGAGAGAGTGAGCAGTGGGGGAGAGAGTGAGCAGTGGGGGAGAGAGTGAGCAGTGGGGAAGAGAGTGAGCAGTGGGGGAGAGAGTGAGCAGTGGGGGAGAGAGTGAGCAGTGGGGGAGAGAGTGAGCAGTGGGGGAGAGAGTGAGCAGTGGGGGAGAGAGTGAGCAGCGGGGGAGAGAGTGAGCAGTGGGGGAGAGAGTGAGCAGTGGGGGAGAGAGTGAGCAGTGGGGGAGAGAGTGAGCAGTGGGGGAGAGAGTGAGCAGTGGGGGAGAGAGTGAGCAGTGGGGGAGAGAGTGAGCAGTGGGGGAGAGAGTGAGCAGTGGGGGAGAGAGTGAGCAGTGGGGGAGAGAGTGAGCAGTGGGGGAGAGAGTGAGCAGTGGGGGAGGAGAGAGAGCGTAGGGTGGGGGAATGGAGGGGATAAAGACGAGCAATGGGAGGGGTAGAGAAGGCGACGGGCGGGGAAGCGAGGGCGACTGGAGGAGAAGGCATTGCGACGGGCGGGGAAGAGAGAATGAGCAGGGGAGAGTGAAAGGCAATGGGAGGGGAAGTGAAGGAGACGGGTGGTGAAGCAAGTGCAACAGGCGGGGCAAGCGAGTGCGACGGGGGGGGGGGGGGGGGGGGGAAAGTGAAGGCGCGGGGGGTGGGAAGTCGCGACGTGGTGGGGGGGGGTTGAAGGCGACGGGATGGGGGAAGAGAAGGCGACAGGGGGGGGGGGGAGTGAAGGCGACGGGGTGGGGGAAATGAAGGCCATGGGGCGGGGGATTTGAAAACGACGGGAGGGGGAAAAGTGAAGGCGACGGGGGGTGGGAAGTCACCACGGGGTTGGGGGGGGTGAAGGCGACGGGGAAGAGCAGGCGACGGTGGGCGGGGAGTGAAGGCGACGGGGGGGAAGTGAAGGCGATGGGGGGAAGTGAAGGCGACGGGGGGGAAGTGAAGGCGACGGGGGGGATGTGAAGGCGACGGGGGGGAAGTGAAGGCGACGGGGGGGATGTGAAGGCGACGGGGGGAAGTGAAGGCGACGGGCGGAGCGTTCGCGACTGGCTGGGGTCGCGAAGGCGACGACATCCGAAAAATCATGGTTGCAAATTCCTACCTGGAGGTAACTCTTGGGGTTGCTTTGGGGGAAGGCTCCGGAAGGTATGTCTCAGGATGCCGGTCAGGATGCCTTTCGAGCGGACCGCGCGCTCAACTCCCCCAGAAGTTTCGGAACCAATCGTCCAGAAACATTTTTCTGGTTCGGAAACTTACGCGATTGGCCGTTGGCTTGAAAAAATTCGTTTGGCAATCTCGTTCATTTGACTTCCAACTCTGTTGGAATTGATCCCATTGGCCAATGTTCGCGTCGCGTCGAGCAATAAATTGGATATGATGTAGATACACTTAGCGCATAGTGTACATGTATTATGGCAATATATAGATAAAATTTGTATACAATCAAAATAGACGCGATAAAAATAAATAGCGGACATTCGTTATGGTACAGCAGTCATTATAATGACGAGTATATATTTTGCTTCAATTCGTTAATTGCATGTTAGCGTTTTCATGCCTATCCAACCTTCCAAATTTGTTTATTGACTCAAACGTCAATGGTCTCGATTATAATACAGATACATTAACAACAAGAGTAATTATCCAACACTTTCATAAACACAAAAAAAAAAAGAGCAATCGACAGTTTAAGTTCTGGCACAAACATTGTGAAGTGAAACCATCGGCTGCTAATATAATAAACTGCAGGGTCTGCATAATGAAACTGATGATGATGACGCAATAAATCACGACATTGTCTTACCAAAGGCAACTACCATCGTGGGATTTCAGAATGAAAATACGTGTAAAAACAGCCGACCTGCAAGAAACAGACGAGGTGCGTTAACAAAACAAGAAACACAAGAAAATACATGATCTAGCTACCAGCATGCAACGACAACGCCAACACATTCTTACCGTCGGGCGCCGAATAAGCTGACATAAAAGAAACAGGCAAACAGCCGAAGAGAGAGAGAGAGAGAAAAAAGAAACAGGACAAGGACCGAAATAAAAAAAAAAACAGGTCCACAATGCATTAGAGTAGCATCGAGCACATAGCGAGGCTCCAATCCGTCTCACAACGTGGATCAGCAGCGGCGGCGCGCATGGTGTGTCGATCTGCAGTGCGTGATGCTGATGGCGAAGCTCGGCGACTCTGAAATGGGGTGCGAGGGGAAAGGCAGAGGGACAAGCGGGACTGGGCAAGTACTCAGCGAGCAATACTCGCTAGACTTCGAACACGGAAAGCATTAACAAGGCAAACAAGGCCGAATATAAGTGCTACGAAAGTGTCAGACTTTGGAAAAAAATAAAACAAACAAAACAAACTGCGAAAGACAAGCGCAGATACTTAACGCTAAGCTTCGCCACAGGCGCCCTTACTGGAGTAATAGACGGAACGAACTAGGGAGTTCGGGCACTACCTTAGTCTTCGCGGCTGCGGGAATGACGAAGAACTGAGAGCTGACATCCCTAGTAACAGATCGTCGAACAGATAGAAGGAGAGGTGCGTTCTGTGCTTGTGAAAAGAAGCGAGACAACGAACCAGCATATACAGCTGATGCTCACCCCATGCACGCGAATTTGCCTTGCGCCGGATGGATACGCTGCACCCGAGGTTGTTTCCCCAGCCTCATGCACCTACATTACAAGCGCGTCGCGTGGTTATCAACCAATAGTAACAAACAGACTGAAGTCAAAATAGGTACAGACCGAAGTCAAGCAGAAGAGACTGAAGTCAAACTAGGTTACAGATCTTGTTTATAAGCACATGCGAATCCTTTTTAGCTAGCTGCGAATTGACGAAACTTATGCGAAATGCTCGTGACAGCTTATACGCCCCCTTCATAAGGCAACCGGGAGGGGCTCAAACAGGCATCAGGTGTAGATCTCACCTTACCCACCTGTGAAAACCTGGCGACAAAACCGCCCACTGACGTAACAGCGAGGCAATCGCCAGCGTGGCGTCGAACTGCTGATTCAGCTGTGGCAGAGCGAGCTCCCTAGCAGATTCCAATCAGCAGCGTTGTCACAAGCGTGAGCAATGATTGGACACTAAAACATTTTCGGCGTACAGCGACTCACTGCTCATCCCTTCCGAGTGAGGTTTAGAGCGTGTTACGTACCCCTTATTTTGGTGTTAGGCCCCGGTTGCCTCCAAAAGTCGACTCAACCTGACTGGTCAGGTCAACCGGGGCTGTCAACTTGGCCGGTTGGGTACCTAGCAGGCAACCTGCAAATGTACCACTCGCCTGCTTTTGGGACCCAACCGTGCCAACAGTATTTCGGGTAGACCCAACAGTCACTGTGTCAATCTTAGTGGCCAAAATTTGATGAAATTTTGATTGCACTAGTCACATCAATTCCCGCTAGTGCAACCTGCCCGCAATGTTTTCGTGCACCCTCTGTTTGCGCGGCGGTTAGGTACGTTCAACCCTGGTTGCCTGAATACGGTTGTACCTGGTCGAGACCAGTCGGTTGCCCGACTACGTGGTTGCCTCGACCAGCTGCCAGACGGGTATGGTACGCACGTACATTACTGTACACTGTAGAGCGTAGGGTTATCCGGTAACCCTACGTTCAACCCAACCGGCATGTTTGAGGCAACCGCGACCGGGCCCCAAAATAAGGGGTACGTAACACGCTCTTAGTTTTGTTCTGGCCCGCGGTCAGCTTGATGAGTCATGCGACTGCCAGCGTACAATCGCGCAGGTGTGTTTTGCTGCTGCCAGCTCGACAAACATGAAATTTGTTACAGCTCGGCAGTTTCACGAACCCCGTTAGCAACATCGCTATACATTCATACCGAAGACCCACGCACTTACTGCTCATGTTTCAACCAGGGCCCAATTTCGGAAGTCAAAAACGAAACAAACAGACTGTCACAAATAATAACAAACAAGGCGATAACTAATCAAAGGCAAGAAGAAGCCAATGGATGGTGAGCTTTATGACTACATTGTCCGTAGTTTTGGAAAAAAACACAGATAAGAAACTAAGTGCACCCCAACCTTCACACAATGGAATCATGTATATGTATAATTCATCTTGACGCAGTGACTTCTCGCACGAAGGCCTGTCCTTGTACATATTCGGGCTAGCGAACGCACAAAGATGCGTTACATGCTGCGTAGTTGTGCGAACGACCTCAAACCAGTTCCTATGGCTAGGTAATAGGATGTAGTAGGGAATTGTGTGAAGAAATAGTGCTAAAAAAAGGCATCTAGATGCTGGCGAAGTGACATGTTGCGCACAGGCCTATCCTTGCACAGTTTGAGGCCAGCAAACGCAGAAATATGCGCCACGTGCTACATAGTTGTGCTAACGAGGTCAAAACAGTTCGTATGGCTAGGGAATAGGATGTACTAGGGAACTGTGTGAAGAAATAGTGCTATAAATGTCAAACATTATATATGTTGGGTTTGTTAGGCTACAGTGGGTTAGCCTATATGGGCACACAATTCTAGGGTTTGCTATTTGTACTGATCTCTCTGTTAGTTCGACCATTCATTTCTGTTGTTTTGACATAGTTTCAGAGCAGGTCCTTCGCTAGGACCGTTTTTTTTTAAGGGCCCACCGCTACCTAACTCCCTACCTACCTACCTACCTAGGGCGCCTCGACTTTTTTTCGGCCCCTAAGCACTAGCGACCCGCGACCCGCCCCTTAAGGCCCCGTCGCGCCGCCCCTTAAGCCCCGTCGGCCCCGCGTTCGCCCCTTACGGCCCCGCCGCGCCGCTCCTTAAAGCCCGAGTCCCAAATTGCGTGCCGCGCGGGTCAAGCTTTTAAAACTTGACGAACTAGTGTTTTCAAGGTTAGAAGAAAAGCGTGCCTGCAATTTGGGACTTTTGGGAACTGAACCAACCCCCAGGGCGAAATACGAGGGCGGGCTGGGTTTGGCGAAAAAAACGAAAAAAGCGAAATCGGAATCTTTCGCCAAAACCCTCACCACAAAAACCCCCTCGCGTCAACCTTTTAAAACTTGTGCAATTTGGGCTGCCGGCTTTAAGGCCTCGCTACGGGCCCCGCGCTCGCCCCTTTACGGCCCCGCGCACCGTCCCTTACGGCCTCGCGCACCGCCCTTTCCGGCCCCGCGCACCGCCCCGTACGGCCCCGTCGGCCCCGCGATCGAACCTACCGGCCCCGCCGCTCGCCCCTTAGCGACCCAGTCGGCCCCGCGATCGCCCCCTCAGGCCTGCTGCCGCCCCGTGCACCGCTTGCGCAGCCCGCACTGAGCCCGCGCAACGCCCGCACAGCCCGCGCTAAGCCGCGCAGCCTACGCACCGCCTGCGCACGGCCCGCGCACTGCCCGCGCACCGCTCGCGCCCCACTTAGAGGCCCCCTGCGGCCCCGTGCACCGACGCCGCTGCCACCCGTGCGCTGCTGCCGCTGCTGCTTGCGCACCGCTTGCTGCTGCAGCCGCCCGTGCGCTGTCGGCGCTGCTGCCCGTGCGCCGTCGC